GTTTTTGTTATTGCTCCTGCGGGGGGGGCGAACACACGCGACCGGGTGTCCCCCCCAACCCCCATCAAAAATCTCCCCTTGAATCACAATGCCCCCCCCCCCCCCCCGCCACAACTTTTCCCATTCAGATGGATGGGGAAAAGAATATGAAGTAGAATGCATTCTATATTATAGAAGCAGGAGGAAGTATATAATTCATTGTTCCCTTGAATCAGAATGGCCATGGCAATGTGTAGCAAATGCCCATGCCCTATACTATGTTAGCAAGGTATATCTGAAATTCTCACACAAGTCCTGTCTCTGTGATTGGCACTGCTATTAATAGAATGAAATAGAATAGATTCAGTGGTTCCTGCTACAATAGACTATAGTACTAGTTGTTTCCAAGCAAGGATAAGAGAGTCTGCAGTCATTTGACAAGGATCTTCACCTGAAGAAAAAGTGGAGATACTGTACAGAAAACAGATAAATCAAGAGCTGTTGCAGATAAAGCACAATAAACAATACTTCAGAAGGGAAGAGGTGTGAGAAACAGACTCAAGAGTTTTCCATCCCACCTTTTGAGATTGTTATGGCATAAGAGAAGGTGGTAGAAAATCTTGACAGAATATTTTAAGATTTTTAAAGAATCTTAAGATTCTGAAATGATATTCTACAACAATGAGGTTAAATTTCAGTAGCCTTTGCAATCTCTGTTTCCTGACTTGGGCTACCTTATAGAATTGACAACTTTCTCTGCTGGCAGATATGTGAAAAAAGTCACTGTAATAAATGGCCTTGATCTCAAGTGACATTGTATTATAAAGGGTGGAACTAAATCTAACACTTTTATGGCAATAGAGGATACTTAAACAGGCTACAGTTTTTCCTGAGAAATGCTTGTGCAGCTTTTTCCAGTTAGCTGCAATTTTCCTTCGCAGGGGAAACTTGTATTTCTTTTTCAACGAAGTTTGGTTTTCAGGAATATTGGTGATTACTGTGTCTCGTGATCTGTAGATAGAAATTATCTAAATTCTGCATTTTTAAAACAGTATTTACCAAATCAACGCTTAGAAGTTCTATCACAATTATTCTGCAAAGGAGAGTAACTGGACTTTAAAATTCTCACACAGAGCAAGTAATTTATTGGAAACTATCTCAATTTCCTATACATTTTTGCAGGACTAATAACACAGTTTAATCTTTAAGTAAATATTTATGGTTCCAAACATTCAGCTGATCCTTAATAATGTTACATTTTATATATAATTATCATTTAATAAACATTAAAACAGGCAGAACATCACCCAGCATTAAATTTGCATTTTGCATCAGCTGACCATGACAGTTCTCCTGGTTTTTCACTTTGAGGCAGATAGTGAAAGGTTTATCAAATCTTTGTAGAAATATTAATTTCATCAAATATTAGAATTTTAGGGTTGGAATAGGTTCTATCACTCCTATACAATTTTTATAAGAAAGAGGGAAACAAACAAATAAATAAATAATCATTCATCCATCCAATCAATCAAGATACACACACTCACACACACTTCTTATTATTCATAGTATCTTTGCAAATAAAACAAATCCTTAGCTTATGCTTTGGATGCAGTTAGAAGCCTTTGCTGCTGCAGCAGCACCTCCATCAGATACCTTTCAGATTCTCCCATTGGTTGTAACCAGATCCTTCTGTCCAAACTCTTATCAAACGTCCATTCATGGATCCATCAGTCATATAAATTATAACAGCAGATCTGGGCAATAGTATCGAAAATTCCCTTTTTAGAGAAAATGGTTGGCTTTCAACTCCAGAAGACCATGGAATAAGTGGATTATTTGGATCCTTTTCAGTCAGGATTCCTGCTCCCACTTGATCTCTCAGTAGTTTTAATATTATCAATCATGGCATCTTTCTGACTTGCCTTTGGGGATTGGAGTGAGGGGAACTGCGTTGCAATGGTCCTCCTCCCTTTTCTTTTTTTTTCATATAAATTTTATTGAATTTACAATTAAAAAAATAACATAACAACATTACATAAGAAACAGAGAGAGAAAAAGAAGAAAGAAAGAAGAGAAAGAGAGAGGAAAAAAGAAAAAAAAAAAACGCTCGGTCTTGCGACCGAAAAAGGAGAAGAAGAAGTATAAAAGAGAGAAAAACAAAAAACAAAAAAACAAAGAGACGGAAGAAAAAAGAAAATACGTTAAAACCAGACAAATATTCTTTTTGACAGTCTACAAGATCCAATTCTCCTACCTTACTTTAAATATACACATCTTATCGCTATTTATGGATATTTATGCTTATTTATGCTCATTAAACAGTTTATCTCTGATATAACCAATTATACCATGCATTCCAATTATTATCAAATGCTGAAGACTCTTTATTTTTAAGAGCTATGGTTAAATTGTCCATTTCTGCGCAGTCACATATTTTCTGAATGACCAATTGATCTGTAGGTAAACGGGATGATTTCCAGCACTGGGCAAATGCTAATCTGGCCGCAGTTAGAATATGAATTATTATGTATTTCGTCTTTTTAGGAAAATGTTTATCAGAGATCCCTAGTAGGAAGAACTCTGGTTTGTATTCAATTTGATCTTTGGTTATCTCCTCCAGCCATTTTCTAATTTTTTGCCAGTATTTCTGGGCTTCTTTACAGGTCCACCACATATGAAAGTAGGTTCCCTCTATGTTTTTACATTTCCAACATTTTGGACTAGAGTTTGGGTTCATTTTCGCTAACCTCGAAGGGGGTAAGTGCCATCTATATAACATTTTATACATATTTTCTTTGTACGCCGCAGATTTCGTAATCTTAATGATTCTATTCCAGATCTTTTCCCATTCTGTTAATGTAATGCTTCTTCCAATATTCCTACTCCACATTATCATGTTCCCTTTCACTATCTCTTGCTCTAATTCTACCTCCAATAAATATTTATAAAATTTAGAAATATTCTTTTTATTTGATCCTAATAAGATTTTATCTAAGTGTTGTAATTTGCTATAAATTCCAAACTCTTTGATATCTTGTTTGTATCTACTATGGATTTGTATATATAACCACTGATCAATTTTAAATCCCTGTTCCTGTAAGTCCTGTCGAGTTCTTAGTTTCCCTAAAGGATCTAATAAATCTTTATATTTAGTCATTTTTGTTATATCCAAATTGTTGGGATGAACCATTGCCTCCATTGTTGAAAGCCAAATCGGAATTTTTAAATAATGTTTTTTACATATTTTTTTCCAATTAGTTAATAGTGAATCTCTAATAAGATGTCTATGAAAGTACGCCTGTTTAGTTTTCCCCACATCCCATAGAAATGCGTGCCATCCTCTCTGAAGGTCGTGCCCTTCCAAGGCTAGAGTTCTTTTATTCCGTAAATTGACCCAGTCTTTTAACCATAGTAAGTTGGCTGCCCAATAATATAATTCCCAGTTTGGAAGCGCTAGCCCACCTCTACTTTTTTGCATCTTGTAAGGCCTTAATACTGATTCTAGCTTTTTTCCCTTGCCAAATAAATTTAAGAGTTACCTTATTTATATCATCAAAAAAATTTTTTGGTAATTTTATTGGGATTGTCTGGAATAAGTAAAGGAGTTTTGGTAAAATGTTCATTTTGATTGTGGCAATCCTGCCCAGTAAAGAAAGCTGCAACTTATTCCAGGATTCTAGATCTTTCTTAATTTGCTGTAACAGTTTATCATAATTATTCTCTTTGAGTGATTTACTATGTGGTGTTAACCATATGCCTAAATATTTGACCTTTTTTGTTACCTGTATCCCCATGGTTTTTTCTAATTCTTTCCTCTGGTTCTCTGTTAGATTTTTAGTCAGTAATTTCGTCTTATTTCTGTTGATCTTTAGTCCTGCTACTGAACCATATTGTTCTAGTTCTTTTATTAGATTATGTCCTTTCTCCATGGGATCCTCTAGGAAGAAAACCATATCGTCTGCAAACGCCTGTAATTTATATTCCTCTGCCTTGACCCTAACCCCTTGAATTTCAGGATTCTGTCTTATCCGCGTTAACAATGATTCTAAAGCAAATATAAATAAGAGGGGTGAGAGAGGGCAACCCTGTCTAACGCCCTTTTCAATGCTTAGTGGGCCTGTTTGTTCACCATTAATTAGTATATTGGCTTGTTGGGTATTGTAAATTGTTGTGATAATATTCTCGAATTTAGTGCCCAGATTCATGTTATAGATTTTTTGTATTAAGAAGTGCCAATGTAAGTTATCGAATGCTTTCTCCGCATCTAGAAACAAGAGTGTAAATTGTTTCTCTGGATGAGCTTCATAATATTCTAAGACGTCAATAACGGTTCTTAAATTGTTTTTAATTTGGCGGAATGGAAGGAAACCATTTTGGTCTTCATGAATGTATAAATTTAAAACTTGTTTTACTCTATTCGCAATAATTGAGGTAAATAATTTATAATCGGCATTTAAAAGTGAGATTGGTCTATAATTGTTGATATATCTGGCATCCACATCCTCCTTCGGAATTAACGCAATCAACGCCTCCCTCCATGAGTCTGGCATTTTGGCAGCCGAAAGTACTTCATTAAACACTTCCAGCATCAGAGGCCCTACTAAATCTAATGTGGCTTTATATAATTCTACTGGAATCCCATCTGGACCAGGGGATTTATTATTACATTGATTTTCCATTGCAGATTTTAACTCAGACCATGTAATATCCTTATTTAGTAATTCTTTGTCTCCTTCCCCTATTGTTTTATCATTCGTATTCTCCAGATAAGTTCTTATTTTATCCTCATTGATTTCTTCTTTTTTATATAATCTTTGGAAATAGTTTAATATAATATCCTTTTTCTTCTCAATCTCATGTTGTGGGATGCCTTTCTCATCTATTAATTGGTGTATCAATCTCTTTTCTTTTTCTTTTTTAAGTTTATAAGATAGCCATCTTCCTGGTTTATTGGCGTGTTCAAAATAATTTTGTTTGGACCTTCTCAAGCTAACTTCTAATTTATCTTGTTCAATTAAATTCAGCTTATGTTTGGCTAGTATTAACTGATTTTGTAGTCCTTGGGTCTTAGGGGTTTTTTGTAATTGTGTTTCTAAGTCTTGGATTTGTTGTTGTAACGCGTTTTGTTGGGCATAAATTCTCTTGTTTCTCATAGCATTATAGGAAATTGTTGTGCCTCTTATAATTGCTTTCATAGTATCCCAAATGTTCTGTTTTGAAGTTGTTTCATTATTATTATCTTTTAGAAAATAGTTTAGCTCCTCTTTCAGTTTATTAATATACTCTTCTTCGTTTACAATTTGGTTATTTAGTGTCCATCTTTTTTTTATTCGTCTCCTATCCCTCCAAATTAGCTGTATTGGGTTATGATCAGCCCATTCATTCGGTAGAATTTTGATTTCTTTTATTTCATTAGCCAAGTCCAAATCCATCCAAGCCATATCTATTCTGGTCCAAATCTTATGTGGGTTAGAATAATATGTAAATTGTTTTCCTTCAAGATTCCGTTCCCTCCATAGATCTTTTAAATTTAACTCTCTCAACATTTCCTTACATGCTGCAGAGAGTTCCCTTTTCCCCTTCTTGTTTTTCCCCATATTACTATGGTCTTTCTGGTAGTCTGCAATGGAGTTAAAATCGCCAATCAAGCAAATGTTTCTTTTTTCAAAGCCTACTATTTTTTGGTGAAGGTGTTTAAAAAATTTCCCCTGGTCATCATTTGGGGCATAGATTGCTACAAGTAAAAATGTGATGTGGTTTATCCAAACTTGTATAACCAGAGTTCTTCCTTCGGGATCCGACCAGATTAGTTCTGCCTTTACATCTTGTTTTACATAAATTGCAATTCCTTTTTTCTTGTGTTGGTCGGCCGGTGCTGTAAAAAGTTTACCTAATTTTGGACAAATTAGATATCTTTCATCATTCTTCGAAATATGTGTCTCTTGAAGACATATTATATCTGCGTTATGTTGAATAAGTTTTGAGAATATCCTTTTTCTTTTTAATAATGAATTTAATCCGTTTATATTGATGGAGAGCAACTTCTTCCCCTCCACCATTTATCTACTTCTGCTTAGATTTTTGCCTAGTAATGATTCGGTTCTCTTGTTGTTGTTGTTGTGGGATTTGCTCTTCTCTCCCATGTTGTGGATTATCACTTCTTGAAATTGGAGAAAGTCGTTCCTTTTGGGTTCTGTGATAATATCGGACCTCCTGTGGTCTTGTTTTAGGTTCTTCTTTGGTGGGTTGACTATTCTTATCTGTGAGCTGTTGATGAAAAACTTGGGCCTGTTCTATCGATTCTATTTTGATTTTCCTCTCTTTCCATGTAATTAACATCCCTTCCGGGATTAACCATTTAAAATGGATTCCTTCTTTATTTAAATCATTAGCTAAAAATTTATAATCTTGTCTTATCATCCTCACTCTCTTTGGAATTTGTTTTAAAATCCTAATTTCTCTGCCCTTATATGATATTGTTTCCTCCCTAGACATTTTCAAAATTAAATCCCTCAGACATCTCCTAGAGAAGCGGATATGAATTTCTCTTGGACAGTTGTTACGCCTGGCGTAGCTTGTGCTAACCCTATATACCTCATCAAACTCTTTAATTAGATCATCTTTTTCCTTTCCTAGCCATTCAGCCAATATTTCTGCCATCAAATGTTCCAATTCTTCATTTTTGGCTTCCGCCACATTCTGGAATCTTAAATACGCCATTGCTTTGTCCATCTCGAGGTGGATCAGAGAGTCTTCCGTTTCTCTAAGTACATTTTTAAATTCCTCATCCATCCTTTCAAAGTTAGACTCCATGCGTGTTGTTCTACTCTCTATATCTTTTATTTTCACTTCGTTTCTCTCCATGGCCTGCTGTAGAGACCCTATCTTACCCTCCACCTTCGCTATATCCGCTTTCATTTCAGCCTTCATTTTCCCCATCTCATCTTTCAATTCACTTATATCTGCTCTAGTTTCCTTGTGATTATTAATCATCATTTCTTGCATTTTAGATATAGCTTCCTGCAAGGCTAATATGGAAGTTTGTATATTAATATTGGGGACATTGGGCTGCTTTTCCCCTATTAAAGACTCCTCGATAGTTTTTTGAGATGTTGGTGGGGTGGCTGTCAACGTAGTTGATAGGGTCGGGATAGCCTTCTTTCCTGTTTTTAAGGCCATAGTTGTTGTGGATGTCATCTCTCTAAGTATTTGTTTTTGTTGATGCACAATATTAAATATATTATCCCAAATCACCATTCAGTATTTGGGTTCTGTACTTGAAAGACTATTCACGTATTTCAATTTTATATCTCACTCCACAGTCTTTCACAGTCTTTCCTCCTCCCTTTTCAAGGCCATTTTCAGATAGTGTGGTGGAGTAGTTGAGCCCAAGGCTCCAGTTTGTGGGATGCCTTAGAATCCTTCTCTCTCCCCACCCCTATTTACTTGAGCACCTGGGTTAGATCATCCATCCCCATAATGTGTGGTATAATCAGTATGTTAATAATACCCAATTGCACACCTTGGGCCAACCGAGGAATAACACCAAAGACCACTCCTGATGTCTGGAAGTATGAGGATCTACATGGGAGGAAAGGCTTTTGCTCAATACTGGCAAGATTGACTGCTTCTGACATCCAGTGGGAGGAGAAAAGCAGATCTAAGAACCATGAGGACCCAAAGGGATGGGAAGCAGAGGAAATAATATCTAAAAGGTAGGGAAGTCCAGGAAAAGCAGGTCTGGACCTATGCTTGGTCTCCTAGGTCTTCCTCACCTGAGGCTCCACTTAATGATTAGTGTGGTCAATGAACAAGCACATTAAGGAGAACAAGGATGGGAATCATTAAACAAGTTGATTATATGGTTACTTTGCTTAATGATTGTCAGAATTTGTAATATAATGGGCAGGAGCCATTACAGTTATAGGTCAAGAACTTGCTATATGCAGTTGCATACATAAACATGTATTATTTCATAAATATTAATATATTGATTAATCTTACATAAAATTTGTATTATGCATCCAGATCAGGTTATCTATTTAGCAAATCTTAAGAGGTAAAGGTAATAGGGGATCTGGAAGCTAATCATATGATGAACAGTTGCAGGAAGTAGGTATGCCTAGAGTAACAAAGAAAAGATCTAGGAGTAAGATGATGGCAATATTCCAATATATGGACTGTAATACACAAGAGATGGTCACCCTATTCTCCAAAGCATCTTAGGCCAAGACAAGAAGTATCAGGTGGAAGATTATCAAAGAGAGATCCATTCTAGAATTAAGAATAATTTTTCTACAGTGAGAATAATAATAAAAAATTGAGGGTACTCTCTCCTAGGAAATTTTCAACAAGAGATTAGACAGTAATTTGTCTGGAATTATATGTCCTGCTTGAACATGAGGTTGAACTAGAAGGCATCCAAGCTCCCTTCAAACAGATGTATAAACTGTCTTACATCTCTTCAATCTTGAGGTATAAGGTCATTATGTAGGATATTACCATTTGATGAACTGTAACCTATTTCGTTGACAAAAATTCATTGTATTAACAAAGAATTACAATAACATTAAACATTCCCTATCAACAATATATGAAAGCATTTCAACAACTAAAAATATCTGTTTCATAATTTCCCCAAACTCTCATAACCAACTTCCTTTCTGTAACCTCCCTTCTTTTAATTACTCCAATATGAAGCAAAGAAAATTTGGCATCTTCTGATGAATTTAGAATTATTTATACAAAAAGAGCAAATTTCAGACATTACTTACTAGTTTTATGTAAAACAAAAATGCATGTTACCTATGCAGTCTAAAATCCAGCCTACGGTTCCATCACCACCACATGCCAATACTCTAAAGTCAGAAACATCTCGAAAAAAATTTAATCTGAAAAAGTAAAAAAAAACCATGAAATTATATTCCGGAAGTTTGCTTTATTAACACATTGAACAGAATACTTATACAGCAGTTACCCTTGCTTGCTCTGGAAAAAAAAACAGCTAAATTTGGCTTGCAGCAGGATAGTATATAGATCATAGTAATTATAATTTTTAAATACGATGGTCTATGTTATATGGGCAGGTTATATAAGTCTTAAGATGGTAATTAATGCAAAGGGATATAATAACATTAGTTTCATTATAGCATGCAGTTTATTATGGTGAGCAATGAAATATTAATCTCCTGGGAAACTATACTTTAAGATATAACGATAAACTGGTATGTAGATGCCAACTAGTTGTAAAGATCATCATTTTTTAACTGTAACAGTTTTTAAACAGAACCAAATTAAATCTGCACTATAGAATAGACATAATGTACTCCCACTGCAAAATAATTCTGTGTGTGTGTGTGTGTGTATGTTTTTGTAGATTTTCATGGGTACAGGTATGTAGGTCTAGGTGTGTTTGGGTCTTTTCCCGTGTAAGATTAAGAGTATCTTGGCGACGTTTCAGCGAGGTCCCACTCACCATCCTCAGGCTGGTGCACTGGCACGAAGCTGAAAACACCAGCCTGAGGATGGCGAGTGGGACCTCGCCAAAACGTCACCAAGATACTCTTAATCTTATACGGGAAAAGATCCGAACACACCTAGACCTACACACACACACACACACACACACACACACACACACACATGATATTCAGCTTTGTTCGGGTATTTTCCCACGTCATTATAGTTGTGCTTTTAAAGTTGTAGCAACGTTTCAGCATATATATATGAATGTTGCACTCCAAAAGCAATTAAATATACTGGAGCTATGATGAAGTGAATATATCTGTATGTGAATACTTTCATAAAATAAATAGAACACATTAACCTATGAAAGGAAAAATTGAAGTAGCACATTATAGGCATTTTCATTTTTGGTGAATTGTTTGGACTGTTCAAAACTGAGGTATATTTGTAATAGATGAGTAACAAATTTTTGCAGTTTAAAATCCCAGTTAATGACAAACAGATTTAGGCATATTATAGTAACTAATTTTTCAAAAAACACATGAAAACACTAGGTATGAAAGCAAAGTAGGTCATCACTTCCAGAACCATTATGCTCACAGGTCAATGAAGTATTGCTGCAGACATAAAATTGAAAACACCCTTCAATGGCAGTCAAAAGCACAACACTCTGGAAAAAAGTATCTATTCTATACAGAAGACAGAACTAGTATTGAAACACTATTGGAAGATCCACTGGCCAATGGGAAAATGTTAATAATATGGCATATAATAAATATTTAAATTAGATATTAGGAGTGATCTTTATTTATTTTTAAAAAGCTCATTTTAGTTCAGTAATAAGAAACATTAAAATAAAACAAAATAGTAAGCAGCTATGTTTTGAAGAAGCAGTTCTGCTCATCCCTGCATGGGAAATTAAATACTTGTAAGCCTTTGAGATAGTTCTCCATAACTTGTTTTCTCCTAGAAGTGCTGGATCTTGATAAGGATTTTGCTGGGGACTGAAAAAAGTTCAACTACAATAGAACTAAAAGAAAGAAACTATGGTTTACCTATGCAATTCAAATTTATCCTTCCTTTCCCCAAATATCTACCGATAATGTTTAGAGTTATAGTTACCATTATAGTCAGATTATGGACTGCTTTGGTTACTAAAGAATTTAAAGTGACAACATAATAAGTATTTTACCAGGCAATCTTGCATCATGAGAGGCAAAGGTCAGAAGTTGTAATTTCAGGCATAAGACTATATTAGATATCTCGGGCTATTGTTGCAATCAGTACAAAAACTAGATTGAATTACCTGCTACAATGTTTATTACTCTCTTTAAACTGGCCAGTTTCTGGGAATGCATTTTCCTGATAGATGTGGACATTTCAGTGAGCAACATTTCTTGGATGACCCAAGATTCATTCATCTATTCAGGAATAGCAATCTACCCAGATTGTAGAGACTGGACTTTCTAGAATGTATATAGGATCTCCTGCTGATGCAGGGGATTGGAGGAAAAGACTACAAAGTACCTTCCAATTTGATTATTCTGTTAACTGTAGCAATGGTGAGTAGGAACAGGTACTTAGAGAGTGCTTGCAACTATGGGTTCCCAAACCAAATTATAAAGAACTGTCCAGTGTGCCTGTATTTATTATATATCCTCACAAAAAGCATCCTCACTATCAGAAAAAGAAAACCAGAAAATGAATTTTGTTTTTTATCTTTCTCAGCAACCATAATAGTGACAACATATTCAAAATGTAATTTCTGAAACATCAAAATTAACATGTTTGTATATTTTCGCAAGTTAGTAAAAGCAATGCTTTGAGAAATAAACTAAGAATTGCATAAATATCCTATCACAGCTTTAAAAAACGCAATATGAATGCAAGATATGGGGAAGTTGAAGAAAAATAATTGCAGGGTTTGAAAATAGCATAATTTAGAACTATTTCCTTGCCAGGAAAAGTGACCTTTCTGCTTTTTCACAGAGACATGCCACTAAAATACTATTTACACAATTGTTGTTTATTTATAATATGAATATTGCCAGAATTTCAGATCATTCTATGTAACTAAAAAAAGTGTAGCAGTTGTGGATGAAATACTGTAGTTTGCTCCTACAAAACAGTGAACAGTGAAACTCTTTTTAAAAGTAAAACAGGTGCATATTACAAACTGCACAGTGTACAAGAATGGCAATTTTTATGTCACTTTGTTAAGTAAGACTTTTTTTCAAAATGTATTGTTTTATTTTACATTTACATTCAGCTGCAGAGCCTGCCTGGTCTCTCCAATTTACACTTCTTTTCTCTTGTGGAATTTTAACATCAAGGAAATAATATATTTTTGTCAATCAAATTATCGATGGAAAAAATAAATGCACAAAACTAATACTTAAAGTTAAGCTTCAAGAAAATATATTCAATCATTGCAAAGGCATATATTTGATTTTACAGAAGAGCCTGCCTTACTGTTTCATTAAGATTGGACAGAATTTGGTCCTTAGAGATATAAGATGTATTGAAGAATAGGAAGCAAAATACCCTTGCAATTCTCTTTTTTTTTCTCCCATCATCACTCCCATTTTATTTATTTATTTTATTTATATATTTGGTAAATATACAAAAAGGATGCCATCAAATTGTAAATTTGCATGTGACAGAAGCAGAAATTTCATGAGGAATAATTATACTAAATTAAGTAATAATAGAATTAAAATAATTTCAGCAATATTAAAGTAATTAATTTAATTTAATTTAAATTTAAATATAATCAAATATATTGTTTATCCTGCTCCTTCTCAATTTCTTGCCCTGCTCTACTTGTTTTTTGGAGTGTGACTTCTTGCCTGCTACTCAAAGACAAATGCTACCTCAAAGGAATTGTATACTATAGTCTTTGCACATTTTGAAACAAAAGATACTTGCTTTGTTGTGAATTGCATCAAGATACATCTTAAAGCTGCTTTGCTCAAATAGAAATATGACTGGTTTGCTTCAGATTTTTCTGTTTCAGTCTGTTTTAAAATTTCTAGTACTTGAGAAAAAAGCTCAAAAGAACTTTTTAAAATAACTGCTGTAGCAAGAGAGATGTTCCTTTTCTGATTGTCCTCTTACCCCTTGAAAAGAAAGCTAAGAGGCACTAAGGCATGCTGCCAACCCCACCCTATATACCTTTGCTCTGACTAGAGTAAATGAGTCTACTAAACCAAGATTTTCATAATGTGTTCCATAGAATTCTATAGTTCTGTGACATAGATTTCCACGGAGTTTAAGGGCAAAGAAAAAAAAAACTCCACATTTTGAAAACAGACAAATTTTAAATAAATAATTTTGCCTCTTGATCAAGGGTTCAGTATTTTTTTTAAATTAACAGTTCTGCAGCCTGAAAAAAAAATACTGAAAAATCCTGTACTAGCCTAGGATGGTATTAGCAGTGTGTCAACTAAAAAGATACTCTTTTGGTCTTTTTAGCTGACAGAAAAAGGGAGTGGGGGGAAAACAAGGCATTTTTGAAATGCCTAGATAATCACCTCGGTAGCCCAAAGTTGTTGGGCCATAAGAAGGTCTTTGGAGAGCATGATGACTCTTACAGATGGATGTGTCCCATTGGAGAAGTCACATCCAGGGGGTAGGGAAATGACCAGGGTCAAGGGGAAAATGTATGATATGATTTTGTATCAGTTGCACCCAGTCATGCGCCAACATGGCAATTTCTAATAAACCAAGTTACTTTTTCTGAGATGCGGTTAGAGACTTTTGATTTGAATGAGGGTGGATTTGTTGGAGCCCTGACAGCCAGACAGCCAGCCGATACTAAATCACAGTAAGCAGTAAGAATTAATTCAGCTTATTTACACTCATCTACTTTTAGGTCATGTTAGTTAAAGTAAAAATTATGAAAAATGTAGAAATAAATAAGAAATTATACATTAAAAATACAAATAAATCCATATTAGTTCAATTATAAGGCTCATTGAAGAAAGTTTTAAAAGAAAGAATAAAAATAGCAATAAATTAGGTCGTAGAAGTAAGTAAAATCCTATATTGGAAAGTTAGTCTAATTAAATCAATATACCGATTTTTACTGAAATCAAATACATTATGTTCATCCTCAGGGACTCAGAAACAGAAAGGAACAACCAGGAATGAGAATTAAAAACATTTGACTTTTCAAATGGAGTGAATTTGATAACAGTCATTTCATTTCTGAATAATGAACTACAATATAGACAGAGATATGATAAACTATCAAAATAACAATATTTTGGAGAATGTTCAGTGAGTCATAATGTCCAAAGAAGCAGTACATTAACCTTCAATTCAAATGTTCATGAATATTTGCAAATATTCATGACTTAGGAATGATAAGGAATGATAAGGACGATATGACTTAGGAATGATAAGAGAGGATAGAAAAATGGAGCAGCAATTCCAGCCACATTGGTCCTTTTAATTAGGGTTGGCCACAGACAAGCTAACATATCCCTTTTCCAGCTGGCTGCTGGAATGCTCTAGTTGAATATCTGAGTTATATTTAAGGATGTGTTCAGAGCTTTATCTGTGTGACTTGATCTGATTAACTATGCTCTCTAGTTTTGAAACACAGCTTGGCCCATGATAGCTGCCTTTAAAAGTGACTCAGGCCTCTAAGTATAGGTCTTTTAAGATTGGGTGAAATCCTAACTGACAGGTGAAAAAGAGAGATACAGTCAGTAAAAATAATGTGTGCCTGACTCTTTGACTTCTTATTTGTAAGCCTATGTTAATTGAACTAACTAGATTTATAAAGCCACTGTTACTAAAAGAAATTTGTATCCAGCTGATAGCCATGACAAAGAAATAAACTTCACAAATATATGTATATGTACACACATGGCCTGAAAAGTCAGAATTAAATTAATGCCTAAGAAAAGCACAAACAAACAAAGCTATGCAATATTGGACAGAAAATTAATTAGAAGTTTTTGCAATTTATTTACTAATGTTTCAAGACTAAACAGTTTCTTAAATGGAGAAAATGAGAATGGGAAATGATCTTAAAATTTAAAAATGAATATTCACAAACACTACCCTCTTGTGGCATTATGCTACTATCTGTACAGGGTGATTATTTTTTTTAAGCACTGTAATCCTTTTTAGAAACTTTGATAATATATATCAATTAGAAGATAATTCTTATATTTAAAAATTTGGAAGGACCCTCAACTATGTCATCAAGTTACAGCAGTGTATTTCTTCAGTTAATTTCTCTTTATACAATATTTCAAAAATATCATTGTGTTATTTAAAAAGTTCATGTTTGACAACATACAGACTTACCCTGCCATTGGTCCATTTCCTGCAAGGCTGTAAACCTGACGAGGATTCAGAAGATACTGAAATTTCCTATAAATTCTATAGTTGAGGATAGAAAAATATTTGAATTTTATTTGCAACAAATTCTGTTTTGGCAATTCTACCACATAATAATATGTTGGATTAAACAAAGTCATACTTCATTCCACACTATGCTTACCAATGCTAATATTTCAGGATATATAGATGGATGTGCACACTGACATTTATTCTGCATAATTTGTAAACATGGGCAAAATCAAGTAAATAAGATATCAAGCAAGAACTACTTAAGAAAGTCTTTTAAATTCATTTCTACATGATATACTGTACTGGAAACTTCTTTTCAAATTTTAGTCCATTTCAAATCTATTAGCCTACCAAGCTGCAGAGCATTTTATATCTTGGTCCTATCTATGGCAAAGATAGCATACTTGCAGACCCTTGAGCTTTACAACTTCACTTTTTCTCAATCAAACTTTTAGGAAATCTAAAATTTGGTTCAATCAAACATTTAGGAATTCTATCACTAAATGAACATTTCTCTATTTTTACAAATCTAAGAGAAGAGTCACAATTTAGGGACTTCATAATGACTTAAACAGAATTGAAAGACAGCTTGTAATTCATAAATATTGCTTTTAGTATAAGATTTTGTTGAATTTGGTCTTATCTAGGTAACACCTGCTGCAGTGTAGCTCCTTTGGAAGTAGCAGAATCAAAAAAAGAACTAATATCATTGACTGTTTTGCAAGAATCAAGTTTTTATGCATTTGCTAAGTTAGTAACATGGTTGTTAAGTGAATCTAGCTTATTCCATTGACTTTGCTCATCAGAAGGTTATAAAAAGTGATCAAATGATCCCAGGAGATTGCAACCATCATAAATATCAGTCAGTTGGCAAGCGCCTGAATTTTGATGACCATGGAAATGCTACACTGATTTTAGTGTGAAAAAAAGTCATAAGCAGGGGTGGGATTCTACCAGTTTGCACCTGTTTGCTAGAACCGGTTATTAACATACTAAGCAGTTCAGAGAACAGGTTGTTAGAAGAAATTACTGGCCTAATCCTGTAAGGAAGGCAGGAAGGAAACATTCCTGTCTCTGGAACTTCTCTGGAGTTTCTTTTCCCCTCCTTTGCTGGTACTTTGCTTGTGTGGAGTGACCATTCAAAGTTACAATGGCTCTGAAAAAAGTGACTTATGACCGTTTTTCACACTTATGACTGTTGCAGAATCTCCATAGTCATGAGAGGCCAGGCGAGGAGATGCATGTCTTGATGTGAGTGGTATTGAGTTGACCACACCCAGCCAATAACATGACCACCAAGCCATGTCCACCCAGTCACATGACCACCAAGCCATGCTCACAGAACCAGTTGTTAAAAATTTGAATCCCACCCCTGGTCATAAATCACTCTTTTTAGTGCCATGGTAACTTCAAACAGTCACTAAATGAACTCTTGTAATTCAAGGACTACCTGTATAATATTTGAATATTTAAAAAATGAAACTGGATCTCTTATATATTTTACATCCAGCTATACATTTGGTCATTAATTAGATTTTTCAGAAACTAAATTCATCCATTATTCCTAGTCTGAACCAGTGGTGGCATTCTACCAGTTTGGCCCAGTACTGCCGAGCCAATAGCGCCGATGAGCAGCAGAAACCGAAGTGGTTCTCTCTGCCACTCTACTGTTGGGCTCGCCCGCCCAGGCTCTCATACTCACCTTTATTCCCTGCTTTTGAAGCACAGCTGCTTTGCACGGCACAGCAGAATGCCATGCGGCAACTGCTGAAGTAACAGGTAGAGTGCAGGCTTGCAGGAGGTGAGTTGGAAGGCCTCTGTGCCTGCTCAAATGCCTCTGTGCCTGCACAAAGTGAGCATCTGATGCATGCACATGAAAAGTCTGTGCACATGTGCAAAGCACGTCCACCTAACCATACCACAGAACTGGTAGTAAAAATCTTTGAATCCCACCACTGGTCTGAATAGGATCCAAAAAAAGGAAAAGAAAGTCAGGTGAACTGGATGAACTGTAACTATCATGACTACTGGAGCAGAGAACTGACAAGAGCAATTGCTTGCAATTTTAGACCAAATCAACACATCACCCTAATACCTATCCTTTTTCCTTTTTTGTTTGAATGAGAAAATGTTTGGTTGTTATTTTAAGCTATTACTTCTTCTTCTTCTTCTTTTTTTGCTTAATAAAGCCTTCCAAGGAGAAAGTTTCTGCAAGATAACTAGAAAGTTACAAGTTAGTCTGCATACATAATGTATTTTTATATCTTCTAGACAATGGGATCAAGGAACGAGACAACTTAAAGCTAGAATTCAGCAAGAGATTTTAAATAAAAAACACAGAATCATGGCAGACTAAATAAAGTAGAATAAAATAGTTAGGGGAGGTTGAAGTAGCAGTAGACAACTAAGCACTTCCATATGGGCCTTAGTTTAATTTTAAAAGACCTTTTCAAAATCATGTTTCTGGTGAGAAGTATCTGTTCTTTCTCTAACAATCTTCAGGACAAGAGAAAAGAAACAAAGAAAAAAAAGGAAAGGAGAAAATGAAACTGCACACACACACACACACACATACACACACACACACCATGAATATGCAATACAGCTCTCAAGAAATAATTCTTGTGATATTGTGACCCTGGACAAGGGGGAAAAAAAATCAAAGGAATACAAAAATCTGTTATTAGGAAAAAGAAAGAATAGTAGTAAGAATATAAACTAAATTGCTAGTTTATCTATCTTTTAGATAAATTATATATCGTTCCTTTAAAAGAAGACTGCAGAATCAACCAATGAAGTCATAGAAATTATCAGAAGTTTTAAAAAAGGAAAGGTGGCTGAAATAGTGTTATAACCAGGGGTGGGATTCTACCAGTTCGCACCTATTCTCTAGAACCAGTTGTTAACATTCTAAGCAGTTCGGAGAAACGGCTGTTAAAAGAAATTACTGGCCTAATCCTGTAAAGAAGGCAGGAAGGAAACATTCTGGTGTTGCTTACAGAAACTGCCTCTCTGTTAACCCTTATTACATTCTTGGCAAGACTAGACTTCCTGTCTCTGGAACGTCTCTGGAGGTTTTTTCCCCTCCTTTGCTGGTACTTTGCTTGTGTGGAGGGACCATTCAAAGTTACAATAGCACTGAAAAAAGTGACTTGTGACCCTTTTTCATACATATGACTATTGCAGCATCCCCACAGTCACGAGAGGCCAGGTGAGGAGATGCGTGCCTTGATGCGAGTGATATTGAGTTGGCCACACCCAGCCAATAATATGACCACCAAGCCATGTCCACCCAATCACATACCCACCAAGCCACACCCACCAACTAAGCCACACTCACAGAACCCGTTGTTAAAAAATTTGAATCCCACCCCTGGAACAGAAGGTCCAGAGAAGTCACAAATCCAACAGCATTATCAATTGAACTCCAAAGATATTGCAACATAAACCCCAATAACCCCAGCTAGTTATAATTAATAAAGCCCACTTGTAATGGAATTTTATGCCTGTACTTATAATATTTACTTTACAGGCTTATTTATTGTGGTCTATAAAATAAAACTGCTTCAACAAGCCAAGAGCTTACCAAAAATGGGGCAATTTTTCAATTTGAAACATATTCCAAATAAGAAAAGGGTTTAACTGTAGGTTAATAAATAAATGTAGAAATAGAAACATAACCTAATCTAATTAACAAATTGGTCATAGTTCAACATCATTTTATTATTAACATTGTTCTGTGTAATTAGTGTTAAGTAGCTTTGGAAAACAAAATGTAAAATACATGCATTCATTTTTTTTCTCTTCAAAAAGTAATTAAATGAATTGGTTTTCTTTCTAAATCAAACTGATGTAAGCCCTTAGCAAGATCATCAAGAAACACATACCTTTCTCCTTGTTTTCCTCCACTTTTAGGATTAACAAAAACTAGAAGTGGTTGAGTACCTGAAGCTGGTGTGATCTAAATTTAAAGAATTCAAAGGAATACAATTCAATTTTCTTCAATATATTATATCATATTACTAATGTAAATATACACAGTAAGCTCTCTACATATACGAACTAGACTTCTAGGCAAGTGTGTGTGTGTGTGTGTGTGTGTGTGTGTGTGTGTGTGTGTGTGTGTTTATATACCACATAAATTCTAGTCTGTCCTTCTCTCCATATATTTTCAGTTAGTACATTCATGTATGAAAAATCATAAATATCAAGAATATTAATGAAATATATTTTAATAACCTTAATTTTAAATGTGCCTAAAGTTATTGCCCTTCAGACATTCTTGAAATAAAGCTTCTAGCAATTTGACTCTTCAGAAATGTAGGCATCTACCTTTTGCATCAAATACCACACAATACACTATTTTGAACATGTCCAGTAAGATAAATTTGTCAGAAATTGAACAGAAGTATGTTACATAAAAAAACACAAAAATATCTTCTATAAATTTTATTATTGATGTTCTTAGAACCAAATCAGACAATCCAAGAGCTTATCAAAGAGCATAATTTTTTGGTGCAAAATACATTTTCTTTGCTTTTTCTAATGGATTTACACACAGTTTTGTCTATTTTAAATACAAATAAAAGTGGACTTTTTGTGAATAAGTGGGATGGAAATCCCACAGGTCGGGAATTCAGACAGGATTCAGTGAGCACAATTTGGACAATCACTGCATTAGTGAGAGGAAGATCTATGAGGCATATAAGTTTCTGTGTAGATAAAAATCACAGCCTTTTTCAACAACTGTCACATCTTTAATGCTTATTTAGAAATGTAATCAATGTTATTTATTTAGTTTAATTCCAGGATTGTTTATTCCTTTGAATGAAGCATAAACCAGTGGTTCTCATTGTGACAAAGATTGACTGTCTCTTAAAACTCTCTATGGGTTCAGGTTAATTAATGATACTCATCTTAAGCTTATACATGATATATTACTTCCTCTAATTAGAAATAATAAACCTGATCATTATGCTGGTTAAGCTGGAAAGAAATAAGATGAATGTGCTTAACTATGATTAATAACAGTTGCACATAAGAAGTGATCCTCTCTGCCACTGAGTTGCCTGCATAGCCCTTTATTACTATGCTTTTTAAAAATATTTAGTACTAAAAACCTTCATGGATAAATCATTCCTTCCATAGTGAATATTGTTAGAAGAAATATATTACCAAAATAAATGAACAGAAAATTATGTTTTTTATATGTGATGAAGAGTAAGCAGAAGAGAAAAATCTCAATTTAATACAAGTTTTCTAAGCAGGTATTCCAAAACTCAAATCAAGATTCATATAATATAATATTACCCTTTATTAAAATGGTTGCATAAAAACATAAACACATTATGTGCCTGTATAAAATCTTCATGTGTTGTTGTTGTTTTGTTTTCTTTATTCTTTTTTCCTTTCACCTTTATCTTTTCTACTTAATCAAAGTTGAAATACAAGTTATCCTAGTTATGATATTTTTTCCTTTCTCAAAGATTTTGTTCTGGTTGTTAACTGTTTATTTATATTGAAGATCAATCATATGCTTCAGATAATAACTTAGATATAGGCAGTTCTTGACTTACTTACAATTTTGTGACAGAACTTCTGTCACAAAACAATGTGCTTACTTAGTGAGTTGTGCTGGGTTTTAAAACCTTTTCTGTGATCATTAAGCTAATCATTAAGTTATTAAGAAAATCTGGCTTCCCCTATTGATTCTGCTTGTCAGAAGCCAGTTGGGAAGGTCACAAATAGCAATCATGCAATCCTAGGATATGCAACTGTCATAAACATTTGCCGCTTTTCAGATGCCCATATAGCCATCAAGTGATAGGAAGGAACCTGCAATGGTCATAAAAGTGAGTACTGGTCACACGGTACTTTTTTTTAGCACCACTGAAACTTCAGTCACTAAACAGTCATAAACTGAGGGTTTCAGCTACACAATTTAATTCCTACATCAGCTTTATTTAAGATGGAGCTATTTTATGAATATCTTTGTATCAAATAATAATTCAGCCAGTAATCTAAACTTATTCATAGGATGGCAGAACAAATTTGGCAGAACAAGTGTGTTTTAAAAATAGAAACTGCACGTACACAAAACTGGGGTTTCATTCAGCAGTAACTGATGAGGAAAGGGAAGACATCTTTATAATACATAATTCAAAATATAACAGCCTAAGATATTTAGAAGAAAAACAACAAAATGTCATGCTAAAATCTTTACTGTATATAGTATACTATAGATTTATACGCAAATACTGTACTTGGAATAATGTACTGTGTAATTAAATTAAAATAATAAGGTATCTAGAAGTGGTTCCTCTATAATGAATGGCTACGCCAATGATATCTTTTAGCTTAGAAAGAAAGTGAACAAAAAGAGAAATAATAATACATGGTAAATATTGGCAGAAATTTTATCCATCTTCCACAGAATCATCAATTAAGAATGAATATTGGGAGATTTAGAACTGATAAAGGTATTTCACATAGTACATATTGGAACTATGGAATTCACTCACAGTAGCTTTGTGCTAGCCATCACGTTATATGCTTTTGAAGAAATTTAAGGAGGATCAGATTATTAAAAGCTATTAATCATTGATCAGTATGTCTCAAATATAATATTTAATATTTATTTATTTATCATATTTGTATGGCTGCCTATTTTACAAAAATTTGACATGAAGTGATAGACAATTATTTTAAAATGAAAATCAATAGGTATATAAAAACAGTCATATTTAAAAACTACAAAAACTATAAAAACTGTAATTAAAACACAGGAGCAATACAGGATGATGTGAAATTGTAACAAAATAGCCCTGAGAGATCTTCCTTCTCTCCTGGGATATTCCAGGATTCCATAGTGAAAGCTTGGGTGTCTTGAAATTGAAAGAGATGGCACTAACCTCATTTCCAGGAGAAGAGTATTTCATAAGTTGAGCATCATAGCAGTGAAAGCATATCTATGGAGGCCTGCCAAGAGTAATTCACCAGTTTATGGGACCCACAATATGCTACTCTGGTCGGACAATCATATGGAATCAAGGAGAGACAATCCCTCAGATAGTTCCATCCCATAGCATAAAAGATTTGAAAGTCAAGACTTTCAAATTGGACTTGGACTTGGAAGCACTCAGGTATTTTGATACAGATGCTGATGTCCAAAATAGTTTTAAGTTTAGTCATTTGCACTATTAATGGATTTCTTTTTTCAAATGGGCACATGTCATCATTCTATTTTTTCTTCCATTCAATTTTGCAAGACCTTGCCTTGATCAAGTTGACATGGCCAACTTTTCAATCCTGTGGGACTTATAAAAGAATATCCCTCTACATCAGTTTTTACACCCATAAGAAATCCCTGTATAACAAGCAATTATTTTACTCTCTTTACAGGGAATCTCATATTCTATTCTATCCCATTACAAAGTTTAAACGTTGTTTCTTTGACTGAATAGGATTCTGACATACAATCCCAGATTGCTCTAAATGCCTCTCTTTTATTCGTCCATTTAGATAGAAGAATACTAATTGTCAGCTTTAAAATTCAGCTGCCACATTTTTTAAGAGAGTTGGAGGAGTTGAAAAGTTCAAGATTATTCTGTATGTTGTATTAAGAAATTTCAGTGGCAGTTAATTGGTTCTCCTGATTTATGAAGTGTAGAAGTGGGAGGAGAAAAGGGAGGAGAGAAGGTGGATTCTGTGTAACAAGCGAAAATAACTTCACTTGGGAAAGTGCCTTTGACATGCTAGATCTGTTTCTAAATAAATCAATTGGAGAGAAATGTCTCAGAGTGATTGATATCATGGATACTTTCTGGATGCCTTACACTAATATTGGCAATCAACATTATTTGTATTACAGGTAGCCCTCAATTATAACAGTTCATTTAGTGACCATGCAGGGTTATAACTGTTTTTCACACTTAACAACTGTTGCAACATCCCCATATCAAGTGATCAAAATTCAGATGCTTGACAACTGATTGATATTTGTTATGGTTGCAATGTCTTGGGGGTCATGTGATCCCCTTTTGCAACCTTCTGGAAAACAAAGTCAATGGGGAAACCAGATTCATTTAACAACCAAGTTACTAATTTAACAACTGCAATGATTTACTTAATTATTGTGGCAAGAAAAGTTGTGAAATGGGGAAAAACTCACTTAACAAATGTCTTACTTAGCAACATAAATTTTGAGCTCAATTTTGTTCATAAATCAAGGACTGCCTGTATTTTATTATTGCTGCTTTGTTAGTTTTGAGTTGTATACTGTATATACTTATTTATATCTAAAGATTTTAGGTGTATGTGTTTCTCTGTACATCTGGTATACATATTCATTGTATATTAGGTATGTTTCCTTATTTTAAGGCCATAATAAAGATTAACCAAGAACTGAGAACTTGACCTTGCTGTCCATGCCTGCAAGCTTCCTGAATCCACCCATTTATTCCATATGACACAGAATAATAGACTTTGACCTAAGCTAAATTTATTTGGTATAACTCAGCAGGACATAATTTATATTCTAATGTGACTCATATCTTACTTGAGGCCCTATTTTACCAAATATTCAACATCCAAGACAACAGCTGGAACAAATTAATTGATCAGAATGTACATGCCAATACAGCTGTGAATGACATCCATTAAATAATTTACCTTATTAGAAGTAATTAATTAATTAATAAGTTTGAAAGCAAGATGTTTTACCAATTTTGAAAAGCCAGCATGAAAGTCCTGTGCAGATGGCATTCCTAGAAAAAGAACTGTAGAATCTGCCAGATCTATTTCACTGTGTACCATTTATAAACTATTATAAAAATGTTCTCTTTGTTAGCAGTCTATATTGCTTTCCTTCTAACAAAAGATCCATGGAGACACCTGGAGATTATTTTGTTCCTTTAAGTACACTAGAATAATGTGATTTATAAATTATATTATAATTAGACATATGGCAAAAATATTATAGGTACAAAAGCCAGCTATTACCTTAGTAATTATATTATTAAACATACCATCAATGTTTTCAATAAAAGAGTCATATATGCAGAATCATACAGTTATCCTTTTATGTATAAACTCGGGAAAGTGTTTTAGTAACTTAATGTTTACGATTCAATGTGATATGCTCAGTGTACCATGCTTTTATCTGTAATCCAACCTGTGACCAAGCTTAACTTTGAATCTGTAACTACAGAAAACATTTTAATAGTAACTATACAAATAGTTAAAAATGACAGTGGCAAATCATACCTGAAGGCCTTGACCATCAATAGTGAGTGAATTTGCTCTCTGTATCTTGCTTCGGTCACCTACTTTGTTTGTTTGTTGACAGGTACTTCTTTCTTTTTTCATTGTTGCTTGGCGTTCCTAAAAAGGAGGTCAGAAATAATAGATTAATATATTAAATATGTTACTGTGATAGAAATAGAAAAATTTCATTCAACAATAATGCATTCAACCACTGTTCAAGTGATAATGAGTTCAGTGATTGCAATCAAATTAAATGAAGTCCAAATTCACATACATCTATTTATATATCTAGACATAATAGCAGTTAGATAATAGATAGATGATTTTTTTCCACAATAAGAACTAAGGCAATGGTGTGAAATTGGTGATACCATATGAGGCCATGATCATGCTTCTTAAATAAGATTAATTAGAGAAAGTCTACTCCCTTGTATACTGAAGATCACAATTGTTTTACAATCTGAAGACCTCAAAAGGATTTATTGCAATATAATCTCATTTCAATATCACATAGCACAATTGTGTGTGTGTGTAAAATTTGAAATAATTGAGAAAAACTAAAAGCATGTAAAAATACTAACAGGTTTTTATTTTTAGCCTCTCTAGAAAAATTAGCAGTTGCTTTAAAAAAAATGATATTCTATTTGCAAACTGAGGTAATTGGGATTTGTTTGCCATCTTGGCAACTATTGAACAAATAATAATATCAATGGTAATAACTGGCATTGGCTGTATTTTATCATGTTTTGAGTAAAATGTATCAAACTGGAAAAAAAATTGGATTAAAGTCCCTCTTATTCTCAACACAACTGCACAATATGTATGAATCAATAGAAAAAAAATGTGTGCTTCATTTTAATGTTTTATTGAAATATCTATAATTTGTAATGATTATAAAGTCCAAAGTAGTTCAAAATAAGTCTATGAAACCCAAAAGCATTACATGAAAATAACATAAATGTTAGTATTTTTGTGGTTAGAAAGTGTCAACCTAAATCTCTTTTTTAAAAAAAGAGATTAAATATAATAAGATCATAGAATGGTGTACTGCAGGTAAATCTACCGCTGAATTACTACCAAATCATGATCTGAAAGCCAAGTGATTATTAACAATACTACCACTAAACTTAATTATTATTTGAAATTAAATCAATCCCCAAAAACTCAGTACAATAGTCTTGTTCTGCAGAACCAAGAGTGTAGCATTAGAACCAGACTCATAGTGACACATAAAAAATACACTGAGTTTCCTCCTTTAGCATTACCAGAATAAGAACCAACATTTGAAAATGATCTATTCATTTATTCATAAATTCAAGACTTTATATATTATTAGTTTTAGCTTAAATCAATCCACTGCAGGATGGAGCTTCTATTGAAAGTAATGATCTGTCATCAATCATGCCTGATCAGTAGTTTAGTAGATAGATAGGGTTGAGATGGAGACAGCTTCTGTTCCTGAGAAGGGTTCTGGATTTCCTTGTTCCTAGTCCAACACCTTGGCCAATACACTTCAATTGATCTTAATACTTCATATTGAAGGCTTATATTTGAAGTTCCATTTGGCTGGCTGAAATTTATCAGGCAGCAACTGAGCACAAGAATAATTAACACCAAATCAAAGCAATTCATGTCATAGCTATTCAAGATTTATAATATATTTTCATTACTTATTGCAGTAATGGACTCCAGAATAGTCAGATTTCCTGCTTATATCCTGGTGAAGGTCCTTTTCTCTATTACAGGTGTGTCAAACTGGATTTCTTCAAGGGCCAGATCAGCATTGTAGTTCTCCTCCACGGACTGCCGGGAGGGAGGGAGATGAACACCTCCTGCAGCACTTTGCTGGCCAAAATGGGGCATAGGTATAGCCACAGCCATCCGCCTGATCCCTATTTTGACCAGCAGAGTGAAAATGAGACATGGATGGACCTCTTGTAGCCCCTTTGCCACCATGGGCCATTCCTTTGCTATTTCCAAGTTGGCTCCACTGGCTTGATTTAAGCACCACACGGGCCGGAGCTTTGAGTTTGACACCCCTGCTCTATTACATCTGAACCTTCACAAGCAGGAAGACCTAGACCTCTGATGGTGAACCTATGGCATGTGTGCTGGAAGTGGCATGCAGAACCATCTCGCCAGCCATCTCCTGTTGCTATTCTGGGTTCCAGCATTCATGTGTGCACCAGCAAGCTAGTCTTTATGCATGGGGGACTGCTGGAAACTGGAAGAGCAGGTCCTTGGCATGCATGCACATGCTGGGCAGCTGGTCTTTGCTCACGTGTACATATTAGAAACCAGATGCACACCAGGAAGCTGAGATTCCAGTTTCTGGCGCGCACATGTGCAGTCCTGTTTTAGCGCTCAGTGCCGAAAAAGTTCTCCACCACTGACCTAAACTATAATGGAGCTGTTCCCATTGAAAATAAGATGCTCTGTTCAAACAGAAGTGGTAATTGTGAACCATTTACAGCTTTTAAATTGGTACAAGAAGACATAAAGAAAACAAACTGCTTTTGTCAGGTAAGTAATAGCAATATTTCTTCTGTTGCTATAGTGTGTGGTGTTGAAGCAGTATATCTCCCAGCTGATATATTGGTCTTACATATCAACCTTTTTGTGCTGTTCTAAATCTGAATGCAGGAATGATGGTCTCAAACTGATCCAAAGGATAATAGATTACAGAATCTCATGCTTTGTCAAGAGAAAACCCAAAGTCAATAAAAATGCATGGAACAGTTCTGTTAGAATTTATTCATGTGAAATAGCTATAGCTTAGGTCTAAATATATTATAACAGAAATATGATATCTGTAAACATAGCCACAAGTCTTGCAATTTTTTTGATAAGTTTTTTTCAGAAACCTGCCATTTCCTTCTTCCTAGGTCCAGACAATTTGGTGTAGTGGTTAAGGCATCAGGTTAGAAACTGGAACACGACTAAAAGAGTTTTAGTCATGCCTTGGGCACAAAGCCAGTAGGATGATCTTGGACCAGTTACTTTCTCTCAGCCCTAGAAGCAAGCCTATGGTAGCTGCTTCTGAAAAAAAAGCTTGCCAAGAAAACTGTGAGGACTTTATCCATATAGTATCCAAGAATCAGACAAAATTGAATGGGAAAAAATATACATCAAGTTTTTGATTCTTTGTTTCAGTGATTAGTCTTTTTTTTCTCTAAATTTAAAGGATAAGAATTATCAAAAAGCAAAATATAGTACTCTATAGTTTATTGTTTTTTTCTTCAGTTAATTACTTTAAAATGTAGCAGAGCAGCTTTCAGGATACACAAGGTTCAATATTTTCACACTGGTCCTATTGTCACATGAAGATCACAGATCCTATTCCTATCACATCCAAAGCAGTTTTGTAGAAAAGATCCTGTTTACATTCAATCCAAAGTTCTCCTATAATGTGAAGTTATTAAAAAATCCATATAAAGGGAGGTGATGCCTATGCTTGTCAGGTAGACATCTCTCCACACAAAAGGCCCTCAAATAATCAATGAGTTCTTCCTCTCACAAGATTGTTCACTGTTAGGTCAGGGAGAACATCAGAGATAGGAAAATGGTACAAGTAACATGTCTTCAGACCAACTCTTTGTCAGGCCTGCTATGTTTCTTCCTTTGCTTTTATTTATGCCAAATAATGCAGAAAGACATTCACTGAAACTATCTGCTCATTGATTTCAAAAAGATGTGTATTTCAAGATCTTATTTCATAAAATTCTACATATTAAAATATATTTTTTTTCCTATTATTAAAGTGAAAATCCATTTGGAACCTGATTATTAATATCAGAAATTCTAAAAGTGTGACTGAATTGGTTATTTTTACTATAGAAGTACCTCAAAGAATATTGGAAAAAGTTATGCAGGTAATTCATAGATAGTTATATTTAGTTATACAAAAAAATGAAAGAATTGATGACACTGCAGCTGTTACTATCCAGGTTTTCTTTCTTCAGTTTGACATCTTCATAAGATTAGGATATAAAATATTCAGAATTCTCAACATGGTCAAGAATTATGGCAATATCTGAATTGGTTTGATGATACTTAGGAATTCTATTCTGTTATTTCAAAAAGAAAATAGAAATCTGCATAAAGAAATTGTTCTATCTCCAAATAAATTGTTCAAAAGCTCTTTATTCCAAAGGTCTGATTATACAAATGCAAGCAAAGACCTATAGCATAATAAACATATTATGTATCTGTGATATTAACCCTTTGAAATTACCAGGAGACAGATGAACAATAATAAAGAGCATTGTTAATGAATTTTTGCAAAAGAGACCTCCGTGCTCATATAAGCTGAGCACAAATGAAATCTTTCTATAGGAATACATGGTGTTTAAATATTGTTTCAATCCTCCGGCCTTGATCACTGCCCCTCAATTCTATTGGATGCTTTTCTGGGTGGATCCAGTTCCCTTCCCAGAAACTCCATCCCATCTGTTTATTCATTTCCAGTAATCTCCAACCTCTTATTAATTTAATATGACAACTAAACAACTTGACCTGCAAATTATCTTTCTATGATCTGCCAGTCATCTAGGCATGCCAACTATCTGTCTTGGCCGGAGTGTACAAAACATTTATAGTCTTGTTATTGTAATACAGAGAACTTCTTACACAATGTCTTACTTAACATCTCATTAGAGCTTCTTACATTAAATAAGGGCTAAATATGGTGTTACCATTGCTCTGTCTTTTACAGGAATAATTCTTACTTCTCACAATATCACCAAAAGAAAAATTTATAACAAAAAAACTCTCTTTATTACATAAATAATTGAATTATATTAATTCAATCTTAATATAGTCCATGTACTACCTCTTTAAGATTATTGCTACTTTAAATTATTTCAACATTTTTAAATTAGCTTCAATTATTTGCCAATAACTTATTTATTTCTATACCTACGCAGAATTTGATTCACTTTGAGTTTTAACTGAAAAGACATTTTAAAAAGATTAGAACAAATGCATCCAAAGAAAAAGTTTGCAGGATGCAATTGCAATGCTTTCAAAAATCTTCAAATCAGAAGTTCACAATACATCTGGCATTTTTTGCAAAAACTAAACAAAATCTCAGGATAATAGTACAATATACTTATATT